TGAGCTTAAAATATGATTTAAAAATAGAGTATTTCCGAAAACTTATAGAGAAAGGATCAAAAATCAAGAAAGCCTTAAAGCTTGCTAACAACGAAGTGTAGAACTGTAGATTATTTTTTTTTCTAATTGCCACTATACACGTAAAAGTATGACCGAATGGATGGGGTTCATCGATTGCCTCGAATGACGATTCATTTGTTTTTGCCATTTTACCTTTATAGGATTTTTTGGTGACTATTGTAAGATCAATATTTTATTTGTGCATGGATGACATTATAGAAAAGCAAAATAGGAATTGATGATATATACATGTGTTAGGGTTACAAATGTGTCTCAAAAATGCTTTATAAAAAAAAGAAGGTCTGAGGGTCTTTATTGGGGTGGGGGGTGGGGTCCTGTATTCAAACACCTGTGTTTTCTTTTTCTTTTAATCGAAAAGAAGACAGTCTTCTAAAGTACGTTTTGTTTTACATTTTACAAATACATGATTGTATACTTATGGTTTTATCAAATATAATTCCCTTTATATCTGATAAAAGTTAAGATCCACAAGATTTTTTTTATTTATTTACTTGTCATTTATTTATTGATTTTTATTCATCCAACTTTCTTGCGGATTATATCTCTTAAATCCGAAAGTTCTGAAGTACGACTGACTAATACAAAGAAAAAGTCACATGATCACCGTCAAAGATGGCGCGATGTAACATGTAAACAGAAACTTTGGACTGCCATCTGAACCCGGAGATGCCAATCATGTCAGTTAATGCGGTAGGTGAATGGTGTGGTTAAGTAATTAGGGCGTGCATTATGCAGTGGTTGACCTAATTCTTAAGACACATACTGGTAAGTGTGTCCGTGTGTCTGTTTTAGCTCAGCTGATCGCACACATGATTGTGTCGATGTTAAAAGGAAGTATGATTACTATAAAAATATATATTTGATGATAAGAACACAGATAGTTCCGCTTGAAAATATTTGAAAGGTAAGACTTTATATGATAACCGGCTACAATTATACCCGTATATGACAATCATTTGATTGTGAAATAACCTGATAACTGGATTTATTTATCCAAATATACATCATGTACATGTATACATGCATAATGCTTACATGTTATGAAACAAAAAGAGCAATGATTCCATTTTATGGAATTTATAAATGGGGCCGTGCAATCATATAATTTAACATTATTCCTTTATATTGCAAATTGTGGACAAAAATATTTTATATTGTGATACCTCGATACATTTTTACAGTATCCCCCTCCCCCTCCCAAAAGAAAAAAAAAACAATCCATTTTTGTTCTCGTTTATCTATGGCAGTATGCATAAAGATTCTGACAAAACATGTAACAATATAGTTGCATTTTCAAAATTGATATTTTATGAATTTTCTAAAATAATTAAAATTTATTAACAATTAAATCATATTAATGACATTATTTTTTCCCTTTAGACGTCAGATGACATGGTCAGTGTGAGTGGTGCTCGGGAACAGAAAGCCAGACAAGCAGGGAACGCAATATATGGCAGTGTCCACAACCAAAGCATGACCTCCAGGTAAAATCATTTATAATTACATGTATGTAGTGATTCAGAGTGGGCTACATTGGAAAGTGGCTTACATTACTTCCTTTATCACCAGATCGCATCGAGTGCAACTTAGGAAAAATCAGATATTGCATTTCAAAATGTAATTCGATCATCAAAATTTGTAAAAGGAATGCATTGCTCAATAAATTTTCCCAATAACAAACTGAAAAGGATTATTTTCTTCTAGAAAAAGATTTTTTTTCATTTGTGCCATGATGCTTTTTCTGAAAACTTAAGTTTACATAAATCTCCCTTAGCATTTATTTGAAAGTAAATATCTGCCTTATAATTACCAATACAAGGTCTCTTCCTTAAAGTGTTTTCAGTTTTCTCCTCCACAAAATCTATCTTCTCTTTAGTACCATGATTATATACTGATACAAATTAAGTACTGCAGATCACTAAATTTTCGCAACACCTTATTTTCGCGAGACAATCATTGGATCTTTATAAGCAAGACATAATATTCACGAATTGTTGTTATTCCTCTATATAATCATAAGGAATACTTATATACGCGAGAATTAAATTTTCGCGAGCTCATTGTCTCGCGTAATTACGTGAAAATAAAGTTCTCGCGAATAAAAAGTGATTTACAGTATTAGGGATGTGCGATTTTATCGGTATACCGGTATATCGCGATTTTTTGTTGCGTGATACGTATCATGATACGGAGACCTAAATACCGGTCTTTAGGTACTTACTATAAAGTCCAGAAACTATTCATTTATTCATTAAATCTTTCACATTTCAATTAGAGAAAGTAAAAAAAATGTTCTTAAAGGTGAAAAGAACGGCATCTTAACGTCCAAACATAACTGATTTTTTATACATAAAAATTTCAAGAAAGTAAAATTTTGTTTTTCTCGCATACTTTTTAGAAAAATAATGACTTTTCATATAAAATCATGGTAAAAACTGCATTTAAAAATATCATGATATTATCGTGATATTGTGGGAAAAAATCGTGATATATCGCGATACGAAATTTTTGGCGATACCCATCCCTATACAGTATTTCTATGGAAATAAATTTTCACAAAAAAATAGTGTGATACTAGTGTACATTATATTAAACATATGCCTCAATGACAGAATGTTCTTGACTCAAATGTATGAAGTCTTTTTTTATGTATGCATTTGAAACAAAGAAACTGGAAACAAATTTTAACACACTGCTTGAAGAGGTGCATGTACATGATGTACAGTTTTATATATACTGAAATGAACATCTAGCAAATCAGATAACATGTGGTTAATAGTCAGTAAACTTATACAGGAAGGCACATGCAAGTGCTTTTTTGAGGAGTGATTGACACCTTTGCTCTTTTCAACAATCAGAAATGTACAAATGTCAGGTACCTCAAGGCTTTTATTTGATACATTGAGGAAGTAATGCAATGCTCTGTAAAAAAGTTTCCACATAGGAATTTTATGTATCAGAGCTATACCCTATTATATGTTAATTTGATGATGGTCATTTTTTTGTAATTCAACTTCCTACTGCAAATTTACTCCACAAAATGCAATAGTGGATTGGGCTATCTTGTTTGTAATAAGACATTTAGGGTTACAGCCACAAGTATGAAAAAGAAAGAAATTCCCCCAAAAGGAAATAAGAAGAAATTATATCAATGAAAGGAGTATTTATATGCACTAACATTTTAGAGGCAAAAGCAGGATACCCCCCCCACCACCACCAAACAATCTATAGCAATTCTAATCATAAAACCACTCCAAGGGATGTAAGTACATAAACATGAAATATGCTGTGTCCGCAGACCTTGAGATTCAAGATAGTACACAAATTTGTTCATTCACAAATCAGCAATAGAACTTATGAAGAATTTAATACAATACAAAATTATTTTTGCAAATTACTGTAAATGTATTTCATTTGGCATATACAATATTTGGCGGAAATTGATGAAAAACTTAATCAAGTTAACCTAGATTTGAATTAGTGCTTTCTGAATGGGCTTTATATGAATATATGTAAACAAAACATTTAGCGATGTACTTGATTTAGCAGATGATACTTTCTGCGAAAGACGCTAAATAGAATACACAAAATATTATACCTTTACAGTATTTTGTATGCATTATTCTTGTTCAGTTTCAATTTAAAAGCTGTCTGAAATGGGTAAGATTTTGTAATTCTGCTAATTCTGTTCAGATCAAAGTAGTCTGACTCAGCATGAGAAATGTATGTATTTATAAATTCTGACTATTGGACAGGTGTTTATTTTACACCTTGTATTACATGTAATAAATATTATTACTTATTTGAATATCCTATGTTTATGAACTGTATGCTTACATGATAGATTTAAAAAAAGAACGGTTTGATATGAATTCAGTCTCCTCCAAAATTAGTATACTAAGTATAGCAAGTACTTATGTATAATTGTATACAACTGATATTTAAAGATTATAGCAAAGTTAAACCACAATCTATGTATATCCTTGTTTTGTGACTTTATTGATATGTTAAATATTACACATATTATACATGTACCATGTACCTGTATCACAGGCATTTGTTTCGTATATGGTACACCCCTAACTAGTAGGGGCACCCTGTATACAAAACAAGTGCCTGCATGTGGCCTGTATACAATAAGTTGAACTGCATATAGTACAGTAACTTTAAGATTTAAAGTACTCATTCAGCCAGTGCTGCTTAAAAGTGAATTTATAGGAAGTTTGCTGTCATATAATTTTGAAGTTCATTGTGTCTGACTACATTTTATGTCCTACCTTGCAGGGACAGAGAAAACAATTTCTAAAAAAAAAAAAAAAAAGATTCATGCAATAAAAAAATTGTTGTTATATATTCTGTTGGTTTTGAATAAAAAATGCTGAAAAATAACAATTAAATACTGACTTTTTCAGAGTGGTAGACGATAACGACACTTATGTCTACGGACCCGAGCGAATCTCAACTCACCCCTACTCTCACTGCTCCACCATTTCATCTGTCCGCAGAACCTTCTGTCTCCTGGCTCTCTTTGATCTGTGTTTCTGCTTTATATTATGGGTCATCTATACTCAGGTAAGGGTCAAAGTTCATAGTACCATTACCAATATCATTATGTGATGAATTTATTTTTGTTTTATTGTATCCTATGCATATATACTGTAAACCAACTTCTCGCCATGAATCAGTCCTTAAGGTCTCTATGTCTGTTAACAACAGATAAAAAAGGCTTGATCACGAAAATTAATCGTCGCGAACTAGTTTAACCTCGATAAATCGCGAAATAAAGTTGTCGCGAATAAAAGTTGGTGTACAGTAATGATAAAGTGAATGCAACAATATGTGTAGATGAACATTTTTTTTAGTTGTCCTCTGGTTATATATTGCTCTATAAAATCTTAAGGAATACTATTTTAAGTGAGATTGAAATTTTCGCGAGAACACTTTCTCATGTAATTACACAAAAATAAGTTCTTGCGAATAAAATATTATTTTCAGTACTGTTAAGTATATGTGTACATACAGTATGCTTTATATTTTTTTTTTTATTTGTCAATTTAGAGAGAAAAAAAACTCCATTAAAATAAGAAAATAAAGGAAGTTTCAAAACTACCGTCATTTTTTTTCAGCTTACAGGTTCAGAAACTGTTTGGGAGGCATTTGAACAGCAGGTTGCTAATTATGGATTTAAAACATCACTGTTTGACACAGTTGTAAGTTATTTTATAGCTTTTAGTTATTAAAATATTCCAGAAATTTAAACTACAAGGGAAATTTTTTTTACATATAATATCTTCTTTTAAATACATTCTATATGCAGCCCTTAATTCTTTTCCTTACATATTGTAGATGGTAGCGGCACTTCGATTTGTTTTGATTGAGCTGGGCTACGCATTGTTTAGACTAAATCATTGGTGGCTTATTGCAGTAAGTACCTCAGTATTGCTATTTATACGCCCGTCTTAAGACGGGACGTATTATGTTATAGGCTTCATGTCCGTCTGTCTGTCCGTCTGTCCGTCTGTCCGTCCGTCCGTCTGTTAGCTTTTCTCGTGTCCGGCTCATAACTTGAATACTATAAGGCCTAGAGTTATCAAACTTTGTCAGCTGATACATCTTGGGTAGAAGGTGTGTCGCACACAAAAAGTAGGTCGCTCTGACCTATAATTAAAAAGTTATAGCCAAATATGGAAAAATCCTGTCCGGTCCATAACTAGAAAACTATTAGACTTAGAATCATCAAACTTGGCCACTTCATGCATCTTAGGTAGAGGGTGTGTCGCGACCTATTTCAAGGTCACTGTGACCTTTAATTTAAGTGAAATTTAAAAAAAAAATGTCTTGTTTTCTCTTCATTTACACACTCCAAAAAATGTAAAAGTATTGCACTATTCTTATTAGAAAAATGTTAAATCAAGAAAATACTTATTTTTTTAAGCATATACTTGACAGCAATCTATAACAAATGTAATGTATGTTAAAGAAATTCCACCACTCCCATGAGTTTAATTATCAAGCACTGGTCAAGAAGAATTTTGATAACAGAAAATTGCATGTCAAATTAGAGAAATTAATGAGTTTAGTGTGAGGGAGAGCATCGATGCTATCTATATCCCTTGAGTATTGGGTCAAATGGGTAATCCTGTTGGATTAAAAATAGCTCTTGTTGGCTAGCATAAGTTTTAAAATGAATTTGATGAGAAGTAAATAAAACTAATTTGATTTTGCATAATAAACTATTTTGATATTACATAATATTATGAACTTTAAAAAAATAATTTTATGGGGGTGGGGTGGAATCAGCATGTCCATATGAATTGCATATTAAAACCTGTCTGCCATTAAATCTAACAAAAAAATCATTGAGGTTTTATATGTTTTAAAAATGCTTTATGGTAGATAGTGCAGATCCAATAATCTCTTGGGAGTAATGAGTAGACAAGCATCCAGTTAAAGATTAATTAATGTGTTCAGTGTAGCAAGGCTATAGTTGTCTCAATCATTTCTTCAGAGCATTATCTTAATTAACTGACAGTGCATCCTTTGGGAATTAGACAGAAGAACTGTTGGTCAGTTTATATTTGATGGCCAGCCTTTTATTTTCAAAATTAATTAGGTATAGATTAAGTTGTTAAGACTAATTTGATATTGTTTAATATGATAGGCATTTGGCAAGGTCTAACACAACCAGTATAGAAATCTATGAATGATGCAGTATATGTTATAATTAATGCCTACACCACAGGAGATGGATAAACACATTTTTTAAGGAGTCGAAAAATCATGGAAATCTTAAAATCAAGGTTGACATGATTTTCTTGCACTTTTAATTGTTTAAGATAATTGTAATTTTTTGACGGGCGTATCATGCTGTGGCGTGGCACTTTATTTATACATGTAGTCCACTTATTCTTGTAAGTTCATGTATCTTCAATACTTCATAGTAGCCTACTTGCTTCAAGTATTTTCAGTACTTTAAAGTAGGCTCATTGTTGTAAATATCTTAATTAATTTATAGTAGATTCACTTTTATAAAATTTCATCTGACAGTACTTTATAGTAGGCTTAATACAGCTGGTTTGTTAATAAGTATCTTCATTACTTTATAGAAGACTTATTGTAGGTGCATTGATAGATTATTATTAGTACTTATAATAGTAGATTTGTCCCATAAAACAGAACAGTATTTCCCTAAATTATATTAATAATTTGGATTCCGTGCTCTTTATCACTCACTTTCGTATAGATGAAGTAATGTTTTAACTTCATGAGTGTGTGGAGATAAGAAAAGACAATTTTTTTTAGTGCAGGTGTACCAAGTGTACATGTTAATATACATATATTTGTGTACATTGGTGAAAACTGAAGCTTCTCAGGGAGCTATTAATAATTTTATATGTGTACTTAAAAAGTATTGTTTACCTAATAAAAAAAAGTACTGCAAACAGTGTAGAGCATACCATGTTTAGTTTAATTGATAGTATCTTACTTAGTATGGTATAGACAAAATTTGTACCATTATACAAATAGATAGAAAGTTTAATATCTCTGATGCTACTGTTTACATATGAGATAACTTTTGATCTTTTGTGATGATAAAATCACAAGGTAATTAAATTAAAGATTTCTCACACTATATTTATTTTACAGATATCCACATCATTAACTTGTATATTTTTGATTGCCAAAGTATTTTTATTTGAGGTATGTATATAATTTATTACCCAAAATGATTACATTTATTGCATATTTGATAAAATCAGCAAACATTAAAGAAATAAAATTGAATATTGATGAAGATTTCATTCATGTACATTAATACAATAATTACAAGTATAATTGATAAAAAAAACAAATACAATGAACCTTTTACCACCGCATCCACACATAGTTTTACTTGCAGCAAAACGTATGAAGGTGGCAGAGGATAGTTTCGAATAAAGTACTGGTCAAAAAATAGAAAAAATAGAGAAACCTGAGGTTTGAATGCATATTATAGGTAATTTTATAGCTAGAATATTTTATGGGTGCATTTGGAGGGACTTGGTGGCCTTGTATATTTTATTGAAATATGACACTTTAGTGTCACTACTACTGTATATGGGATATGGACTAGAAATACGAAACTAAGCTCAAAACTCGCTCTACCGGTATTTCACCAGAAAAGCGGGGTGGGTTCACAGGATGAATTGTAGCTTGAAAACGAGGTGGTTGAGCCATTATCTCTTGCTGTTCATTGGTATGTACAAATGTTATTCTGCAATTTGTGTGGTAGCTTAGGTCAGGCGCACGGGCCTGGAAGCAGATGCGGCTGCGGCGAAATAGTGAAAATAGGCTTGATTCACATGAAATTTTGAGATTGTCCCTGCGCCATCTTTAGGGCTCATTCTGTAAGTTGTACATGTTTTATTCCTAAAAGCTTCAAATTTCTCAAGGGACTACTTCATACTGTTATTACATGTAGAGGGAATTTAAAATTTTTCAATGCACATTTTTAAAGCAGCTCAATATTAAGTAAACCGTCAGTCAAACGTTTTGATTGCAAAAAAAACTATCCTCTGCCACCTTCAAGAATGCATCAATTTTTAGAAATGTGAATTTTAGTCTGATTTTCATACAAAAGGGTTTATTTATGTAAGTCAATTTAAAAAAATACTTTGTTTCTGTTATTTAAAATCTGTACAGATAGGTATATTCACTAAAAAGCAAGGGGGGGTACTCTTTTCCAGCATACATTTTTAAAGACTTTGAACCATCAGCATAATAAATCATATAAGATTCAGGCATTTTTTGCCAGAGAATAAATTAATTGTTTGAATTTGATACTTTGGGTATTGTCGCATAATTAAAATCATGTCTTGCTTTAATTAATTAAATCTAATTAAAATTTAAGTGAATTAATTAGTGCAATATCACTGAAATTACATATATTTGCCATTTTTTCAAGCTAATTTACTAAATATAATTATTTTGAAAATAAAAATCAGTCAGCATACCTAAATGTCACTAATCCTAACCATATATAGTACAAAAAAAACTTTTTTAGCTTTATTTTTCCAAATTTAACCTATTCCGTTATTGATATTTTCATGAAATATGCCCCCCCCCCTTTTCAATTTTTAAATTTATCTATATTTAAATGTTACAGAATCTAAATTTTTCAATGGTTTGCTATAACATGACTATTTTTCTTTAAATAATAACAAAACAAAGAGTTTATATTGCATATTTAATGAAGTAATATCAATGAAATGTGCATTTTCATGTAATTACTGAATTCTGCTAGGCTCATATAATCTGCCCACAATTGCCCAGGATGGACAGAATAATCACTTTTAGTATTCAGGAGAATGAAATGTATGTATTTGATTACTCATAACTGTTAAAAGTGAATATCAGACACTTAGAAAGAATTCAGCTAGGACAAACACATTTTTACAGTGCATTTTCATTACACTGAAGAAATGGCTGCAGGGGTAGGGTGTTGAACAGCCATTTCCTGGACACTTTTTCTTTAGCATATGATGCAAGAGGGTTTTTTGCATATCATGATAAATATCTTGAAAGTTGAAAGGGGTTTTAACTTTGCAAAGAAGTTATAGGTATATAAATCCAAGTGAAAATGAGATAAAATGGAATTTCATAGAACATGAAAAATAGGGGAGTATGTGATACATGTGAGTACATTTCACCAAAATGTGCCCTTTATATTTGACTTTTTACATATAAATGTATTTGAAATAGATTAAAATTACCATTTAACACTTTTTTGCTGGTATATTTATCATCTGGAGTTGTAAGAATTGCATTTGTTTTATGTGGAAGAAACAATATGGGGTTAAGGTGGTTGACCGAGAATTGGTGAGGTCTCTTATTTGGCCATAACTTTTTTATTTTTCAATGAATCAAGACATATTTGGTATATTTTTACTCAGAATTGCATGTTCTTTTTGAATTGAGCAAGGTTTATTACTTGCAAGACAAACTTTGAAAGTTAAAGGTGGCAGAGGATAGTTTCGAATAAAGTACCGGTCAAAAAATAGAAAAAATAGAGAAACCTGAGGTTTGAATGCATATTATAGGTAATTTTATAGCTAGAATATTTTATGGGTGCATTTGGAGGGACTTGGTGGCCTTGTATATTTTATTGAAATATGACACTTTAGTGTCACTACTACTGTATATGGGATATGGACTAGAAATACGAAACTAAGCTCAAAACTCGCTCTACCGGTATTTCACCAGAAAAGCGGGGTGGGTTCACAGGATGAATTGTAGCTTGAAAACGAGGTGGTTGAGCCATTATCTCTTGCTGTTCATTGGTATGTACAAATGTTATTCTGCAATTTGTGTGGTAGCTTAGGTCAGGCGCACGGGCCTGGAAGCAGATGCGGCTGCGGCGAAATAGTGAAAATAGGCTTGATTCACATGAAATTTTGAGATTGTCCCTGCGCCATCTTTAGGGCTCATTCTGTAAGTTGTACATGTTTTATTCCTAAAAGCTTCAAATTTCTCAAGGGACTACTTCATACTGTTATTACATGTAGAGGGAATTTAAAATTTTTCAATGCACATTTTTAAAGCAGCTCAATATTAAGTAAACCGTCAGTCAAACGTTTTGATTGCAAAAAAAACTATCCTCTGCCACCTGAAAACTAAAGATGTCATATTAGTTTGTACATAAAATCATTCCATTTGTTGTTATCTTTCAGTTCAGCCATGCTGGTAAACCTGAGAACCCTCTGAGTTATATTCTTTTATTAGCATCATTTATCATTACGTGGATTGAGACATGGTTCCTGGATTTTAAAGTCCTGCCAACAGAGAAAAAGATACTACTTAAAGGTATACTGTAAAAGCAGAAAATTTTGTTTGGGATTATAATCATTATATTTTGTTTATTTTGTTGCTAACAATAATCAATGAAATTAAATCCCACATGAAATGTTCACATAAATATATATTGAATAGGGTTAATTTTGAAATGATGAAATTTAATTCCCACAAAACTGTTTTAGATGACAACAAAAATTGATCCCAATGAAGTGTTTCTACCGTGTATAAAACTGCATTTACTTTACCACAATAATAACACATATATTAGTACAATCATATTTTTTTAACAAAAATTTGTTGTGAAAGTTTGTGAATTTAATATCATTCATTACCATGATCAATAAAAAATATAAAAAATTAATGTACTGAGCATAAAATGAATTGATCCTCAAAATGTTTATGTACACATTTTAATTACAGCATAGTTGCTGTACATTTCTTGATACTTTCTATATTTAGGAACACACGGTCAGCCAAATGAGAGGACAAGTTTACTGCGGAATGCAGAGGAAGGGAATAGTGTGCCAGACGATGACAAAGATACACGATACTACTCACCTGCAGGTACTGAAGCTTGTTTATGATATATCCATGATTCGGTATAAAGTGGGGCCTCTTATACCAAGGGTTGTCCCTAGGACCCGGGAGTTGGGGAATTTGCCCACCTTAAATGATGGAATCCCCCAGTTTTTCTGGTATTCCCCATCAACACCTGTAAGGGGTGGAGCCCCAGACCTCTTTTACTGTTTTAATGCCCCCTGCTTTTTCATTTCTTAGGGACAACCCTGTCTACATTTATGTTCCCATGTGTTTTCTCTGAGTACCTCAGATTTCTTTACAAATATTGAAATAACTTGCTAAAATTTTAAATCTGCAAGTTACTAATATGACCAACTGGTTCAATATATAGGAGTACTAGTAATTTGTTTTAATGTCATGCATTTAATTACTGGTATCTGATAGATCTAGACTAATAAATATATATGTATACATATCCTCATTTGTTCTGTTGTGTGCATTTCTCCAATTAAAATATATGTCATGGAAAGGTTTACATATTCAACATGCACAGTTCTTGTTTTGTACCTTAACATTGTTGAAGTTAAATAGCTTAATCATCCTTATCTAAAGAGATTAAAACTTATGTTTGAATAGTACATGTGTCTTGTTTCCTCAGAATTTAATGTTCTATTTTTCTTTTCATTGTCATACAATATTATCAACTTCTTACTTGGTGTAGATAATCTTAAAAAATGTGAATTTCTTGGGATTGTACATAGAAGAAAAAAGATAATATGAATTCATAGAAATCAATTTGTGTGGGCATCACTTTTTTAAAAAAATCAAAAGTGTATTAATTGCTCTCATTTGACACACCATAGAGAGGGAAAAATAGCTCAATTGTTTTTACATTGCACAAAGAGTTCTTGTACACCAGCATGCTGTGGAGTACAATGTCAAAATTTTATAGGGGTGGGACGATACACAGATCTTGCGATACGATACATATCTCGATATATTGGCACGATACGATATGTATCTCGATATTTTGATAACTTATAAAACTATTTTAAAAAATTAGTATTTTATTTCATTTCTTGTCTTGTCATTAAATCAACATGATAAATTATAAAACTATTCAAAAAATTAGTACTTCATTTCATTTTTTGCCTTGACATTAAATCAACAAATTATTCTATATAAAAATCATGTGTGCTTTGTAATTAATACTTAAAGTTCATCAATATCATTCACTAAAACTTTTCAAAAACAAAAATACATGTACATATTATTATTACCAAATTACTCTTAAGAAGTTGTTTACAAATAGTTGTGTAGTTCAGCAGAGAACACTGACTAAAATTCATTTAAAAACATCGATCACATTTACATTTTTATTAATTGCTGAAAGTCTGTAGCAAAGCTAAGATTACAAAAAAAAAAAAAATACGAGATGGATTAACAATTAATATCAAATGCTTTGGAAACGATGCTTTCTGTGTATAGCACGCATTACATACTGAACTTTTCTTGTCCAATCTTCCGATGCTACTTAAAAGTGAAAACATTTTACCCCTAAACAACGACTTATTAGTTCTAAAGTGTGTTTTCAATAATCAACATCAATGCTATCATCTCTTCGCTTCGGACAAGCCGCCATTTTCCAAGGACGTGTACTTTCATTTTCAATTTTGGATAGGTCGTTCGTGTATCGTTTAGTACCGATATTTGAATGCTTGTATCGTAAACCATATCTTAGAGGAAAATATCGATATGTATCGGTGTATCGGTATATCGTCCCACCCCTAAAATTTTAACACCCCGTCTTTTCTTTATTCACATATTAATCAATCACAAGCATATTTTATTCTTTTAGGACAATTAATGAATTGGTGATAACTTTTAATTAAAAATATTAATTCTGTTAGTAAGCAGCTTTCAATTCTGATAATTCAGCTGACTCTTAACTCACTATGTAAACTAATTTGGGTTCCTAAAAAAGGTAATTATACTTTCATTTTGGTCTTTGAAGTGTTATTATATTTTTTTGCTAGAAAAGATAAAGAATATTATGAATATTTTCTTTCCTATACGAAATCCTTAATTTTTTTATACCTACTTATTGTACAATTGACTTTTTTTTTTTTTCATTTAAAGGCATTGTTATTGTTAAAATTTTGTAAACATGTATGTTACAGTAGAGATGTGTTATCAAGAATTTAATGTA